CCACCGGTCCTTCTTAGCCAGTGAAGCCTTGGCACGAGAAAAAAGTGCCTCGGGAGGCACAGGACTAGATTGACTAAGTTCTTGGGGTAGGATTTTCATAGACTTGCCACAAGTCGACCTCATCAGAATTTCAGGATAGAATATGTTAGGCCGCGAAGCGGGGTAATAAAAACCGTTCGCTCACAGCACCTTTATACCTTTGGAAAATTGAAAATTGGCTTACGGGGAGAATTTCCATTGAAGTACCACTTCCGGTTAGAATTTTACTTCTGTCTTAAATCCGACCCTTTGTTGAAATCTGTTTTGTCAAGAGATTATCAAGGTGGTTTTGTCTGTAGTTGCTGTACTCCAACGGTGTTAGATAGAAATCAACCAGTGGATACTCTTTGGAAGGAGAAACCAGCGTTGAATTGGCCTAAATCTCTGTTCAAAAAAAACTAGCCAATCACGTGTTTGAGCCACTTTTTCCTTGTCCCAGGGCCCGTCGGCTAAGAGGGACAGGTGGTGCTGGGCACGAGAATATATAACTTCTATCAACTGCAACAGACTCGCACGCTTGTATCGATACTCGCACTACTTGAAGAAACTTGTGAATCGTATAACCCGCCCTCCCTTGTAACTTGTCTTTTAGTAGAATTGGGCTTAAGTGATTTTTTAATGCTGGAAACTCGTCGAATAAACTGCTCAATAGTATGTTTGATTTTAGAAGCACACAAAATTCAGTTTAAAGCTCCTTTAAGACTTCATGTAAGAAGCAAGAATTTGTTAGCGAGTAAATGAACTTAATTTTGTTGATGTAAGCGAACTTTTCCGTGTTTTTCCGGTAACATCAGTTTTAATTTTAAGGCGATAAATATAGCCATTGTTTGGCGGTGTCAGTATCTTAAGCAATTTGAACGTTCTGGATATCAACCGAAGGTTGAAAAGATAGACGTTTTTGTTGGAATAGAAATTCCATTTTCTGATTTTCCAAAAGTTCTATTTCACTTATTTCACAAACGACAGATGCGCAAGGTTGAGCGGCTTTTTGCACAAGTTTCTAGCAACAAAGAACAACCAGCGGGTAGCGGTTGTTTAGTAAATTTTTGATTAAAAAGTACCGCAGATTATGAAATCCTCGAAAAGCTTAAAAATTTGAGATTATCATGACTGTAGTAAATTGAAAAAATTGGAATTGCTTCATCTGCCGTCATCATCTCTAGTTATTTCACATCGCCACAAAAGATCTAATCAGCTTTCTCATCAGTTTTGCTGAACGACTGATGTCAAGAATGTATTGTAAATCTCTAAAGCACATTCTGTTGGAAAAGAAAAACAATTTAATGCTGTACAACTTCAAGGTGAACGTTGCATTGTTTGGCGGCACGTGCGAGAGCCGGCGGGACACTTGCAACTTCTATTTGGTAACAGCGGGAGTTAATGAACAGCCAGAATACATACAATTATCACAAGAACAACTCATAAATTAACAAAACCAAAACTAGAATTGATACCATACGTGCTTGTTGTGCTTTTATAATAAAAATATTGCTTGGACCTAATTTTCTATTCAATTGATCATCCTGTATTTCGTAAACCACCAACTGCTCTATACAACTTTTAAGTTAATAACCTGTTTCGACTTCAACTCGGAAAAGCCTTAAATTGACAACCCCTCGAGGGTTCCCTTTTGCTAAGCATTCTTTGAAAAAAACACAACTTTTAACTTCCCACGATTTATTCATGTTTTAAAACAAAGGATTACGGACCAATACACGAACTTAAGCGCACTCTCTAATGTATGCTGACTCTTTCTATATCGATACTTTCATTGTTTACCAAGTTTAGCTTTTGCTTACTTAGCCGAGGGTTTTTCGTGTCTTTGTTTATTCTCAGTTTAGCGTACAAATTTGCTTAGAAATAACAATATTTGATCATTCCTTTTTTTCTGTAAACTGCCTGGGTTTTTCTCTGTTTACAATTCTGTACTAAACTTCTTGAAAGTTTAATGAGAAGGAAAGAAAATTGAATAATGTCGGTAGGGAGTTAATTTTCGATTGCTCGTATTTTGCTTGGCTTTTTCTCGCTTTTTCTGAGAACTGCGGCTTTGTGATTGTAGTAAAAAGCTGTCATATCAAATAAACAATTTCGTTCAGGACTGATGTAGCCGAGAAAAGAAAAAGACTAAATCAAAATAAATTCTATAGTCGTGAGATTTTTAAATGTTTCATAGTTGTTTACGAATCAGTTGTTGATTTTGGGCATTTTAAACAGAAATGAAGCATTTGTGTACCACTTATAAGACGTTATCCCCTGTATTGGCAGATATGTGAGAGAAAAATAAAATCACTGGATAAAATTTAGTATCTGAACAACTTAAACTAGCCTTTTTCAACAAAATATCTCCAGTTTAAATCCGATTACGAATTCTTCAAAAACCCACTCAAGTTCGTTGGTGTCTCATTTCGTTTTATAAACCAAATACGATTAAGTTCGGCTTAGGTAGACTTAGTTAAACTATTTGCCACGAAACCTTAAACTTGATTATTTGACTCCTGATGTTGCCGGTTTCTTTGCTTTCTGTGACATTGGTTTAACCCTTGATACAAAAAAGAAACAACCAGCGTGAATGAATTGAGCTCCCCGTGGGGAATTTAATTGGCTTGACGTGAACGCGCCTTTTGTGCCTCCCATAAGTATTTTGGGAAGTCCCAATTAATTTAATGTATTCTAGCATGACCAGGGAGTCTAAATAATGAAACGCAGGCTCTTCATGGACTGTCACTGGACGGCAATAAGCAGGTATGTTATGAAATTCATGCGGGTATCTTTATCTGCCAATTCGCCCCTTGCAGAGACCAATTTTTTGTCGCGTGGAGACACTAATAAACTGTGAACAGTTAATAATCTCTGGCACACTTAGACAATGGTTCCTACAAAAAGGTTTTCAATAGACGTTTCCGGTCTTACACTCACTCAATTACTAAGCGACACAGAATTCACCTGTTCGAGTTTATTCAACGGAATTAAACAAAGGGGAAAATATGTCAGCCGTGTTTAGGAGTATCGCTTCATTGGGAGTAATACGTGAAGTCAATTAACAGAAAGACTTAGCTAGCTGGTAAAAAAGAAGTGAAAATTAAATTTATAACTTCAACTTCACTCCACAAACAATTTTCTTTGACATGTCATTTTATTTATTTATTTAACATCAGTGTGCAGGTATATTTTCCCATATTGGTTATCACTGCAATTTCAAGAACATTTAATGTGAAAATATCGTTGAAAAAATTATCTACATTGTCATGTTTTAAGATTTTTCATCTTTCATTTAGTCAGAAATTATTCCTTCGCGAAATGCTCGCATTCGTCTCTATAAAAACTGTGCATAAGTTTCATAAAAAGCACAATTGCACAATTGCGCAATTTGAGCAATTGAATCTTAAGGCTTTTCTTGCCTTCTTGACTAAATAAATATATCGTAATTTACGTTTATATGAAAAATTCAATTTTTGTTCTGTCGTTCTCTTAGTTTCGATAATTGCTAATTATGGTGTTAAATTTAGGTGCAAATATTTAATTTTCGTCAGTGCAAGACATGTTTAAAAGTATTTTTGTGCATTCTTTTTACGTGTGAGTGAAGATTTAATACAAAGAGTTCGCTTTAATTGAAAATTTGCTGAAGGAAGTTCTAATATTAAGTGATAAGTTCATTTCGCGAATTAAATTCGCGCTTCAATAAAGTTCATTTTCTCAAAGTAGTCAAAGTTCGCGGGTTCTTAGAACTGTCCCAGCGAGTCTCAATGAGTTTCTTCGACGTGGTCTTTCAGATCAGTCTTTTTGGAAAAACGTTTCCTACAGGTCCTGCAGTGATAAGGCAAGTTATCCGAGTGGGTATGCATGTGAAATTTAAGATTGGACATCTTGTTGAAGGCCCTGTTGCACTGGTTGCATCTAAAAGGCTTCTCGCCAGTGTGAATCATGATGTGATTTCGTAAATTGCCCTTCTGGTGAAATCCCTTGCCGCAGATGTCGCAAATAAACGCCTTCTTGTCACTGTGGGTTCGAAGATGAGTCTTAAGGGTGGAGGACCTGTTGAAACATTTGCCACACTCGTCGCACTTATGCGGCTTTTTCTCCGTGTGAATTATCTTGTGCCGGCACAGGGTACTCGAGAGGCGAAACCCTTTCCCGCACACGTTACATACAAACGGTCGACTTTGAGTGTGGTCGGGCATTTTGAGGTGAATCGACAAGGTGTATTTGGTCTTAAAAACTTTTCCGCACTGGTTGCATTTGTGGACAGTCTTGTCTGGGCGATTCTTAACGCCTGTATCACCTAGTTCATTTGCTTTATTCAGCTGAGAACTTTTTTTATTTGGCGCAGGTGACACCCGTTTCGATTCGATCGAACATGAGTCCGAGTTCTCGTTGAAGCTGTTGGCAAGCGCTTCAGTTTTTTCTACCAGCGCTTCGTTCTCTCGAAATATTCCATGCTCGTTGATTAGAGAAATTCCACGAAGACTGCTTTTTTGAGAATTTTGCCCCGACATTTTCTTTCCATTATTAATGAAATCATTTGCAAACCTCAAAATCTTTCCGATATCATTCACTTGCTCATCAATTCGGACTTCGGCAGGGTAAGATAATTTCTTTTTCTTTTGAAGCGAGTTTAAAAACGAGATTTCTGCTTCTTTTTTCTTTATCTTTACCGGCCTCTTGCTTCGCCTGACGTCTTGATAATCTTCGCTTGCGGCTTTCGCGTCCTCTGCGAATTAAAAACACAACACGAATGATACTTCAGCATAAATGTTAAAATGAACACACAGCTCTAACACGAAAGTGGCCTTCTGACATGTTTACATAGAGACGCATTTTATTTTGAGACAATTCGAATTAATGCACTCTAGCAAATACTTAAAAAGATTTCGATTCAGATGGAAACAAAAAACTAACCTTGCTGAGCGAAAGGAAGCCTTCCTTCGCCGAAATAATTACCGTCATCAAAATCCCTTTTTAGAAGGAATGCTCTCGGCATCGTGAGTTAAATTTGTGGTGTCAGTGTATGTGTCAAAGTTGTAGCGATACCGAATAGATTTCCCTCAACAAGGAAATTCCCCGCCACTGAAGCGCAGATCTTTAGCCAAGCTGCACTCTGTAGAACTGAAAGGTCTGCCTTTGTATTCCTTCATCTTATAGCAACTTATTGAGCGCGTAATCTTTTAACAACTTTATGTCATGGGGACTACACATAGATCTCGCATTGTTCTGAGTTCGGATGATGCAGTTTCCAGCCAATCAAAATTCGGCAGGTCTGGAAACCTGCAAACATATTGAATAATTTATAAACTGCACATATGAAAATAACTCCGCAACACCTGCTATTGTGGGCTTTAATTTTCAGGCTCTTATCGGCAAATCCGCAAACAAATTCTCCTTGTGTATTATCGAGCGTATTTTCACGCGCAAAAACCGCTAAGAGAAACACGAATGTTTCAACTGAAAACGAGTTAGCTCTTAACTTATTTCCGAAAAAGCGAACACTACACCCGTTGAGTCGCAATAAAAATGCAAATGCTGAAGCATTTGCTCTTGGAAATATTTATTCCCTCTCGCTAGGGTGTAATAAGTGCTGTTTTAAGCAATGGGCCCGCCTATTGGATAGTCAGTGATAATAACTAAACCTAAGTTTATTACAGTCCGCTGTTAGTGGCCTTTTGTATAGAAATCTTTTCTTGTCATTTCAATGGCATTTACGAGCCGCCTTCACGTCCGCAAATTTCATCCCGCCTTTAAATTTGGCAGAGCGTAGACTACCTCAATTTTATACTTCTTCCTTATGCAAATAGTTATCTTAGTTTCGCCTCTTCAATAAACCTGATTTGGTGTGAAGCGTGTTTTATTCAGACCCTTGTTTCAAAGGAAGCCCCTTTAATGAACACCGTCTTCTACTGCAGATATCGTTTCAAAGTTTGTTTGCTTAATTCATAAATGGTGGGTCGCCAGTTTGTCTCCAAATACTCAATAACTCTTCCACCATTGTTTTCGTTTCAGCATGCCTCGATAACAAAGGAGATTTGTGTGTTGTAAATCTACCTTTGTTAGCGGTACAATCCCCACTGTGCTTTTATTTCATCGAACTAACTTGGAACTGCGAGAGGTTATTATTCAAAATAACTTACTTTACGTTCAGAGATAACCGATTAACTTTCCAACTTGCCTGGCCAGTCACTCTTGCTCTACTTTCCTAAACATTTCCTTCTTCTAACTTAATATGGAAGGCACTTTATTTAACTAGCACAACAAAATTAAACAAAGGAAATTGGGAATATCCAGGACGACCAAAGCGTTAATTCCTATTACATTGATAATACAAGCTGGTGAAATCATCGCGACCGATCTTCTCTTTTCGTTTAGCTTAGAAGTCTAAAGCTTCGATCGATGCCATTTAAAAGTATCATTAATGTGTACTTTTGAATGGAGATAGAATTGACGAAATCATATAAGGGAATGGAAGATAAATGTCAGATTTTCAAACAAAAAACATTATAGGTTTTTCGCGATAAGAAAAATCTTTCAAAAGAAAGTAAAAAGAACAAATTAAAATTTCAATGCGTGAATCGATAGGGCGACTTACGTGCTAATATAATTTCCGTGTTTTAAGATTGAAAACCTTGCGCCTTCTGAATGCAAACTTTTATTTATAAGGATTAATTAAATTTTCAAATTGGTCGTTTGCATAATATGAACTCTTTGGCTTCAGCTCTGACCTTATTTGCAAGTGCGCGTTATATTCAGAATTATTTTTACTTTGTTTTAGTCTTTCCATCAACTCTTTGCATCAAAATTGGCGCACACAAAAATAGTTTTGTGGGCGTGTTTTGCAACGTTAAGTTAATCTGCGCAATTCAGTTCCATTTTCCGCTTAGTGTTCCGTTAAAACCAATATCCAGGTCTTCTTCGGCAATGAAAACGTTTGCGAATGGCGCAGTAATTGAAAGAAAACACTGGCAACGATAATTATGATTAAGAGTACTCGAATTTTCATCATTTTTGTGCTTGAAAGTGAAAAATATACAGTGCAAAATGTTTTAATGGAAAACCATTTCAAAAGCTCGTTAATTAGAACGTGTTAAGTCTTCAGACGCATTTCACCATTTCTCTTTCATACTGATATCAGTTGATATTTAAAGTTATCTTCTGGGACTATATTTGTTGGCACACGACAGGGAAAAGGTTGAGTCGCAAAGTGAAACAAGATGCTTAACTTAGCGTCTTGGCATATTTTCAGTCGTTTTTAAAAATTATTGCAACAAAAAGCTGGCAAGTTTAGAATTTCAACTGAAAGATATCGTTTCCGTTTACCTATGCCATAAGTTACAAAAACAGGTGTATTTTCGTATCTTTGCATATATTACAGACAAAGCTGAAAAATGAACAAATTTCAAACTACATTAATAGTACTTTGAACGCACTAAATTTACTCTTGATTGAGAACGTTTTCTCCTTAATATACGACACAAGTCGAGGAAAAACTATTCAGCTTGCTAGATTGAAATACTTTAATCAATAGTCTCGAAATGAATCAATGATTGAAGTTCTCCTGATTTCGATTTAGCCACTGCTTTGTTTTATTCATACTTGAGTTTGCCAACCCCAAAGTTAACCGTCTTTTATACGAACATTTCACACTAAAATTTCTTTTTACCCGCATTGTTCGCTTCTGATAAATTTTATGGTAATAACCATAAACTAAAAGGGTCAGGCAACAAGACTCTGTTAAAAATGTGAGCGATACTAAAGCTTTGGGATCCAAAAAACATTTCACGGTAACAAAACCTGTGACAGACAACAAAAGAATCAGTTCAAACGAAGGTGATAATATATTATGTTTATTTTATCGATGCATGATGGAAAAACTTGAGACTATAAATGATATTTTTTTAAATATGAGTTACACTTTTAACGACAGTAAAACTTATGCTCACGATTGTGCCGTTCACTGAAAACGTGATGCAAGTGTTTCGAGCGTGAAGAGTGCTCTTCTGAGTGAGACTTGCCTTCTCGTGCACACATGGCGATTATTCTTCGTGTTTTTTTTACAAAAGAGATCGAGAGGAATATTTCTTAATGGCATGTAGCGCTTGTCATGTTTCCCCAGAAGTCTTCTTACTTTATATCCACATGTAATATGACTCTGCTTGCCTCAGCAGGTCGCTGGAAGCCTCCTGCGTCAGCTATTAACTGTGGTACTTTACTAATTGTTATAATTGTTGTCCTGGAGACCAATTTCAAAGAGATTGTTTCGCAATACGTTAATTGTGTATTCTCCTGTTTCATCCAAAAATAGCGACACCAAATTGGCTCTTTGGCAATGAGCCCTGTATGAGACACCAAAGTATGTAAATAAGGTACAGAAACGTTGCGTTGTAGTTCGAAAAGTGTCTTGCTTTAACAATAAAATTCAATAAAATCTTGCGCTTGGCTGGCCTGTATGATTAGACTTCATGGTGAACATATAAAGATTTGGAAATAATTTTTTTGAACGATACTATATTTTAAGTTTTATTAGCTTTGAGTTTACTGACCTCTATATTAAGATAAACATGTTGCGAAACATTGCAGGTTATTGGCCACCCAAATACTATACCTAAGATGATGAGAGGGCTCATGTAAAGCTCTTTACCGCTTGCTCTTGGTCACACAGTTGTTAATCGAGATACCAATTGTTCTAAGCGCGGTTCCACATCAGTTTCTATCGTCTTACGGAAATCGGTCGGATTTTTCAGAATAACACAGAAACCCAGGAAAGGGGACTTTAGGGAGTTAATATCCAAAAAATTTCCCTAGGAAAGCATGGCCCCGGACCCCTCCAGAAGCTTTCGCCTTCAGCCCTCACTGTTTCTGTGTCTATCACTATTTATCTTAGGGTGCGTGCCATTATGCCAGACCAGCGGGACTAACCGAGGAAAATGGAACGAAATATTCCGAAAGGAATGACTTTCACCATTTTCTATTCCTTTCCTCAATACACCACTAAGTGAAATCTACTGAAGAGAAGAAGGGTACTGTACCGCTTTGTCAAAATGGAACGGCAAATTTTGCTCCGACCGGTCCGACAGATCAAAGTGGACCACATCCAGAGGAGGTCCCGAATATTCCGGTCGGAAGAAACTGAAACGGACCTTTCCATTTGACTTCCGACGGAAATTTCCGGAATTTTTGGCCAAATGGAAAGAACGCCTAGATCCAGGCCTCATGTTCGCAATACTGATTGGGAAGACCATGGCCACGTGACTTTTTTCTTCCCTTGCCCCCGTTACATTCTTTTTCCTTCGAGTTCTGATTGGCTCATGTAGAGTCAACCACCGCTTCTTGTAACGTACCATAATAGTTATATATATTACAAGTAAATGTTAAAAATATCGTTAAAAAGACCCTGAATGGCGGTATAAATCAACCGACGTTTCGGCATTACTGCCTTCTTCAGGGTGTTTAAGCTGCCACGTGGCAGTTAAATACCCTGAAGCGGGCAGGTTGAGTTACACCGCCATTAAGCGTCTTTTTAACAATATCTTTAACATTTACTTGTACGTAGTTTAAAAGACGCTACGCAGTTTCTTCAATACTAGACATATATATTCCCGCCTGGCGAGGGTTCGCACAAAGACAAATTCGTTTGAAAACGAAAACGCGCATTGTTTTCATCCAAAATGCGTACCTTTGAAAACCTTGTCCAGGGAGGCGATATACGAAAACGGAGCCCTATCATATCAGTGGGGACAGTAAAAGCGGGAAACAACGTTGACTTAGGCTCCGTTAACACTACACCGGAGGAATTTCGAAACGAAGGTTTCACTCTAAAAGCGCATGAAATGTTTTACGACCATACTAGTGAAACATTACGCCTGAGAAATTTGAAAACGCAACAATCACCGGTCATTTCGGATTTGTGTTTGAAGAAAACTCGGTCAGGGAAATCGTATAATTATATCTTGAAGCCATCGCGTGGCAGCGTTTTGGAAAAAGCTCCGTTTTCAAAATGTTTTTCGTCCACAGGAAAACGAAAAGCCGGCGTTTTCGAATTCCGCCGGTTTGAAGAGAGGATTAGCGGGACGGTAGGCCTTACCGTCAGGAAAAAACGGGTAACCCGAAAACACTGACCTCCAGTCCGCGGACCCCCACAACGGACCGGGTCCGCGGACTACCCTACGAACCGGTCCATGGACTACCCCTACGGAGCCCCTCTACGGACCACCCCAAAATAGGGTAAAAATAATAAATAAAGATTTCACTTATGGGTTGTCTAACAGGTTCAGACTCGTGTCGGTGATTTTTCGACTGTTACACTGTGCAAATGTAACAGACTTGGGTTTTTAACACCCCACACCCCCTTCCAAAAAAAATGCCTAAAAGCTGTTTTCAGCCTAAGGAGATGCCGATGGTAAGAAGGAAAGTTTTTACCTTCCATTCGTGGCTCAATCTGGCTATGGAAGATATATTTTTGGGCCGTTTATTCTTGTTTGTATCTGTTATTCCGCTGAGTAAATTGTGAAGCCTGGAACGAGTTCACGAACCCACGGGAGGATGGGCTGAGCAAAATGGCAGAGGGAAACGAGCACAAATTTCGAGGCTTCCCGGACGCTTCCCTGCACGCGTCTTTCGGTTTTGACGTCACTAAAATTCAAGCCACAAAACTATTGATCTTCCTGAGATTTTACTTTAATGATGTATAAGAGCTGCTTAAACCTAATCGTACAAATTTTCGCTCCANCGCTGAGTAAATTGTGAAGCCTGGAACGAGTTCACGAACCCACGGGAGGATGGGCTGAACAAAATGGCAGTTCGAGGGGAAAGAACACAAATTTCGAGGCTTCCCGGAGGCTTCCCCGTACGCGTCTTTCGTATACTTTATGGCCACAGCAAAGGAAATGGCAATGTGCAATTATATAAATTGCACCCTAGCCTGAATCCAGGTCTGCCCATTTGCACAATGACGTTCGAAATTTCGCCGTCACGAGTAATTTCTTAGACAACCCGTAACTGAAATATTTATTTATTATTTTTATTATATTTTGGGGAGTGGTCCGTAGAGGGGGTCCGTAGGGGGAGTCCGTGCACCGGTCCATAGGTAGTCCGCGGACCCGGTCCGTAGTGGAGGTCCGCGGACCGAGGGTCAGTGTTTTCGGGTTACCCAAAACAGAGACCTTGTTTAATTTCGTCCGCGTGCTTAGCGACGTCTTCTTTCCCCTCTTTTCCCTTTGCTTTTTCCCCAAAAATTCGGCAAAGTGCCTCGAGCAGTCGAGTATGCTCTTCCATGTACTTAAGAGAGAGAAATTGAAAACAACTGTCATAAAAATGAAGGAAAGATGCATTACTCAAGCCTTATAACAACAGCGGTTCAGGTACACTTGTAAGGCCTCAAATTCAAAGAGAGTTTACAAAATATCGGCGTTGTTTACAACCGTGTAATTTGGCATGATGAAACTTTAACAACACTAGAACCAGTAAAAAATATACACAGGTCAATGAAAAATAAGTAAATACTAGAAAAAAACGCGTACACTTTACTAACCTTAATATTCGGCCACAAAATCGCGTCTACATCGTCGCTTGACACCAAAAAAACTCAATGATTAGGAGACAGTCAACGTTTTCCCACTACCAAAATGGCCGCTTATTCTTCTACTCAACGTTTGGTCGCAAAAAGTCCTGGATAATGCTGGGCAGACTCTGTGCGAGACTGGAAACAACATATTTCCTTTGTCCACATGAAAGGTCCGCCATTTTCCCTGCTAACAATAGCTTCATGACGTCATGGCTGTCCTATTTTATCGGGATATTCCGGACTGTTCTAGGTTACAGTCAGAAGAACTACTACAAGGAGGTAGTGAATCCATAAATTTTTCATCTCTTGTGACAGTGTAATTCTCAAACGTTTGGTGCTAAATTTTTTTATGCATAAGGGGGAAGAGGGGGGAGAATTTAGCCACTGAAAACCTGATATGACACCAGTAAGAGAAATGATGAATATCAAAATCTTAAATCAAGACTCGTCTTGCACCTTGTTTAGTGTTGCATCGCTTTCACTGTACCAAGAGTGAGCATCTTCTCCATCACGTCTGAAACAAACAAGCGCACATTATAATTGGACCCCTACCTTGTTCATCTTAACTACTGTAGACTCGAAGCACATATGATCTCAAGAAACACTGGAAATATCGCGCGAGCCTGTCACATGAGATGTGTAAAATTATGCGCCGAATTAATTAATGATAAATGCAAACAAATGCTGGGTAACATCCCTGAAAACTCGATATAGATGTTCAGTGATGTCCTTGTTGTAGGCGCACTTGCGTTGTAATTAGTTCAATGGGTTCCGCGATGAAGCGGTTCGGATTTTTAAAAGTCCTACCAGGGGTCAATATGCTGTGTTTCTGGGCAAGATGCTTTATTCTCACAGTGTGTTTCTCTACCGAGCATTAGAAATGGGGTATGGGGTGTGGGGTGTGGGGTGTGGG